TGTGTGTGTGTGTGTGTGTGTGTGTGTGTGTGTGTGTGTGTGTGTGTATGTGTGTGTGTGTATATGCATCTCCTTAAAAAGAAAAAAAGCCAAAAGAAACTAAAAGCAACCTTGCCAGTTTTTTGTCATCTTGTTCCAAAGATAGAAAATGATTTATTGTTCGCTTCAGAGCCAAGCTCAGAATCTGATTGTGGAACTGAAAGAGATGAAAATGTTTCTCTGTGTGTGTGTGTGTGTGCTGCAGGTATGGAGCAGGGCTGAGGGCTCCTTCTCCTGTACTGCTCCCCCCTGCTGTGCAGCAGCACCATGATAACTCCACCACACAGTCTGCCCAAGCTGCCGTGTGTCCGTGTGCTGTGGTGAGATGGCGCTGCTGGACCTTGACCGTGTTGCCGTGACAACCCTGTAGCATCAGACCAGCAGTCCCCCCTCTGTCGCCCTGGTAGTCGCACGAACAGTCGCCGGTAACCGTTCAAACCCGCTGTCATGGCGAGGCAGTGGAGACACCCGGCAAAACAATGAAGCATGTTGCTATGGTGATTCTGTAGAAAGCAACGGTCACTATGGGAACATCAAGGATGTTCCGCATTTTCGTGGTCCTGGGCTCGGCTTTCATGATCCTTCTGATCATCATCTACTGGGACGACGTCGGGGCCTCCCACCTCTACTTGCACAGCCCAGTATCGCCGGGCCCCAGGATCCCTCACCCCCCCCTCCAGCCGAGACCCCACACCTCCCGGACCCCGTCCTTCCTCTCCGATATCGACGCCTTCGTGAACCAGTTCCTCGAGCCGGGGACCGGGGAGCCCACTGACACGGCGCCGGCCGACACGGGCAACCAATCGGACAAAGCGGAAGAGCGTTACGTTCCGCGGAGGGAGTGGAAGATTCACCTGACCCCTGTGGCGGCCGAGCTCCGCGAGAGACAGGTGAACGCCATCGCCATTATCAGCAGCCGACCAGCCTTCAGCTAGTCCCGGCTGTGTTCAAACAGAAATTACCGCCTGAAAATGCATTTGTTGTGAACTAGTCCTGTGTAAGGTCAAGGGATCCAGGCGCTGCAATGGTCAGACGCCAGGCCTGACAGCACTAGCCTGATGGTAGCCTTTCTTGTGTTTTGATTGTGCAGGAGCAGAGGCGGAGGCTGCTTCAGGAGATGTGCGCCAACGACAGCGTCGCCTTCCCCGGCAAGAACCGCTCCTTCGATGACATTCCCAACAAGGAGTTGGATCATCTGATTGTGGACGACAGGCACGGAATCATTTACTGCTACGTCCCCAAGGTACTGGGCACCCACACCGCCCCGCTCACACACGCCGTTTCCACGTCCGCCCGTCTCACGCGGGCCTTGAACCGCAGGTGGCGTGCAGCAACTGGAAGCGCATCATGATAGTCCTCAGCGAGAGCATGCTGCAGGAAGGCGTTCCGCAGAGAGACCCCATGGCTATCCCCTGGGACCTGGTGCACAACAGCAGCATGCACTTCACCTTCAACAAGTTCTGGAAGCGCTACGGAAAGTTTGCCAGGCACCTGATGAAGGTGGGTTTGCACGCTTAGCGGGCGCTGAGTGGCTTTGGATCCTGTTTTGATTAGCCACTTCATTTTGCTTCCGTTTCCCAGGTGAAGCTGAAGAAGTACACCAAGTTCCTCTTCGTGCGGGACCCTTTCGTCCGTCTCATCTCCGCCTACAGGAATAAATTTGAGGTCCGCAACGAGGACTTCTACCGACGCTTTGCGCAGGTCATGCTGCGGCGCTACGCCAACCAGCCCACTCCTCCACCCTCCGTGGACGAGGCCTTTGCCCTGGGCGTCCAGCCCTCTTTCTCTCATTTCATCCAGTACCTCCTGGACCCTCAGACGGAGAAGGACATGCCCTTCAACGAGCACTGGCGGCAGGTGTACCGGCTGTGCCACCCGTGCCAAATCCAGTACGACTTTGTGGGCCACCTGGAGACGGCAGAGGAGGACGCCGAGCTCCTCCTGCGCCAGCTGCGGGTGGACAACGTGGTGGAGTTCCCCACCTCGCACAGGAACCTCACAGCCAGCAGCTGGGAGTCGGACTGGTTCGGCGCGGTGCCCCCCGAGGCCCGCCGAGAACTCTACAAGCTCTACGAGCCTGACTTCAGGCTGTTTGGCTACGACAGGCCGGATTCAATCCTCAATGAGTGATTGTCCCAGACGCAGCCTGTCTTTGTTTTATTGACAATGACGTAAACACCCCACCAACAGCTCGGTCGCCTTTGCTCTGGGCTTTGCGCACACTTGTCCAGTTTTAGTCGTCTATGCCACAGATCGAGTCGGCTCAGCTTTCTTAGGAAGCACAGCACCAATGCAAAGCCATTATCCAGTACTGTCACCGGGTCAGTATTTCAGCGGGGCGCAGCCGGTGACACTCAGAGTACACTCCCTGCGTCCACGCCTGCCATTTGTGTCCTCAGTCGTGCTGACTACTTTCAGTGACCACATGTCCTTTGGTAGCACAGGGAAGCGGTGCCACAGAGGCCGCTCTGCGTGTCCAGTGTAGCTCAGAAAAAAACCACCCCTCATACTAGAATAGTTTTAAACGTAGCTGCTCCGTCAGTGGTCGTCAGCTAACTCGTCTCGATGGTTCAAGTGCAATGTTTCTTAGCATGAAAGGAAAGATTTTTCTTGTTTTTTGTTTTAAATATTAGATCATGTATCGATAACCAGCACTAGAGAGGGGTTCCATGACACCATCTTTTGTTCAGTCCTGTTCACGTTAAGATCAGCATGTTTTTTTCTTTTGAGTCTGTGCTCAGCGTATAGAAGCTCTGCGTTTCCAGCAGGCAGCACAAAAGGACTATCTCATCTTCTTTTTTAATGTGATGCGCACGTTTTACCTTCTTAAGGGCAGCATATTTACGAGGTGTGTCGTACTTGTAGCATAACTTGAAAGCCGGTTGGTTTGATGCATGCTGACATGTCTGGGGTAAAGAAAAAGTGGAGCTTAAGTCAGTGTTAGAGTGAAGACGGGGCTTAAACCCTGAGGCTGGATCGGGTCAGAGAGAGGGGAATGAGAGACAGTGCCTTTGGTTGCAAAAGTTTACAAAGCAAAAAAAAAAAGTATTTTTGTAGGACTTGATTTTTACTCAAATCGCTACACAGTAAGAGCTACACAAAGCGACAGCAAGGTATATTTCATATTCGCATTTATACATGCGACCTGTACATGGGACCAAAAGGAAGAGACGAAGCCCTTTAGCCTAGTTTGACGTGTTTATGTGGGAAATTGATATAATTTTGAAATACACTTTGTATGATTTTTCCCTGGGTGTGCCTGCGTTTTGGATGTCTGGCGGCTCACTTTTCTGCGAGTGGCGCAGACGTACAGGCATCGTGTCGGTGTTGTCTCAATGCCTTATGCTTTGTGTGTTTTGGATCACCGTGTTGTTAAAAAGAAAAACTAGAGCACTCCCACCTCATCCGTGTTTGTTTGTACTGTAGGACGAGTCGTGATTTCACCTTTTAGAATTGTGTTAGTGTTCGTTTCTTTGTGCCTGTCAAAATTTTCTGTGTTCTCCAGGATGTTTTGTGTGTGTGTGTGAAATGATGTAGCAGTAAAGATGGAACTCAGACTGTTTGTAAGCCAGACAGTGTATTTATTTATTGGCAATATAAAAGCCACGAGTCACTGCGGCTTTTTGCTAACGGGGAAATCAGACTGAGAGGCTTAATAGGCCTTGATTAAAGCTGATGTGCTTTTTTTTTTTTTTGTCCAGTGACCTGTTGCCAGAGCAACGGTCCTGCATGACGGAGCAATCCATGCCCTACATTTTGACCTGATCCCAGCTGCTCATCTCTGGAACGCATACAAGGCGGATTTATTTGAATTCTTTAGAGACCTTTCCACCTCCATCCAGCAGCATCGGTTATTTTTGGGACTTTACGGAATTGAAACAAAGGTTGTGGGGCATGAAGGGATATTTCTAGTCTGTATCAGCATATCACTTGAAGTAAAAGTGGTTCAAGAGAGAATTTATGTGTTCTATAACAATGCTATGCTTTGTACATCCATTAAAAATCTGTTTGTAAATCGCAGTGTGGCATTGCTTGAAGCGTTCAGCCGCTGTTTGTGCTATCCTAAAGATGGCACTGTGCACTCATCTGTCAGGAGACATGTTTTAATGACAGGATGTAATCACTCATGGCATCCTGGTCGGAAGTTTCTTGCGTGATAACAAATTATTCTAAACTAAATAATAGATTAGACACATGACTGCAATGTGCTGAAGTGGAAACATCTTAAAAACGAATTACCTGCTCATTCTCTGTGATTATCCACAAATAACAGATTTGGCAATAATATTAGGACTCCATTATTACAAGTATTTCCAGTTAATGCTGTTCTGGCGCGATGGGGAATAGTGAGATTACACTGCCATCCAGCGGTGACAATGGGGAACTACATCCTAAAAATCAAGGCGGTTACAAGTCAATGAGGTCATTGTAAAGCAGTGAGTGGTAAGCCTTTGGGCAAAAGCAAGTGACACAGCATAATCCATTCCACACTAAACACCATCTGTCTTTTTTATTTTTCATCGGTAAAGGGTACTAGATGGCACACCATGAGCATCATGTTGCACTCACTGAGCATAGCGTAGTACAAAAACTGGAAATCGGAAGAAACATTTACGAGCTTTCGAAGCCTCCAGCTCAAACACCTGTGAAAATGACAGCATTTATTGTGACCTTTAGCTCCTAAAAAGGCAGTTTGTAACCTTCTTGCTGCCCCCAGGGAAAACCGTCCACCTGTCTCCAGTCTGTGTTCCAATCCAAGCTACTTCCTGCTGACGGTAACTTTATTATTTAAAAAGGGACACAGGTTTGATACCTAGGGGTCAGAAAAATAAGGTTCCTTCCCAGTCCTGTTTCCTTTTCCCACAGTAATTTGTCTTTCAGGTGTAAACTATTTTGTGGCATATTAGATGGTGTCTTTTGCCTCTAACGGTAAAAATGAACATTATATTGTGGAACACAGTGTATCGTAATCATCAGCTCTCTCAGTTGTCCCCGGCGCCGGGCTTGATGAGGTATCCGTTGAAAGTGATGTAGACGTCCACGTCGTCGCTGTAGATGGCGTTCTCCCGCTCCCTCTTGTAGAGGCGGACCCACACCTGGTCGCCGGGCTCCAGCTCCAGCATCAGGCTCTGGCTCTGCATGATGGAGCGCTCGCTGGGCTGGGCGTAGACGATGGCCCGCTCCGCGTCGTTGTGCATGATGTGCAGGTAGGTCTCCTTAAAGTTCCACGTGTGAATGTTGAGGTTGAAGAAGTAGACCCCCGGGACGCGGCAGGAGAACTTCCCCTGGAACATGTCGAAGTGGTCGTGGAGGTTGACGAAGACGGTGTCGAACACCAGCGTCTGGTAGGCGTCCAGGCTGTGGAGGGATTTGCGGCGGCCCACGGAGAAAGCTGAATGCTGGGCTTTGCAGGGCTCTCCGGGAAGACCCGCCCGACCCTTACCGCCTTTCGAACCCACGGGCCCCCGGGAGCCAGGGGGGCCCTCCAGTCCAGCTTTACCTGCTGTTCCCATGATCCCACGATCTCCTTTGTCACCTGACGTATCAATTGTGTCATTAATTGATTATGATGTGAATACAGATGAAGATATTAAAGTATATTAAAAATGAAAGGAAAATGTTTTCGTAACTGACAACCTGCCAAAGGCATGCCATCTTAAAGTTTCAGGATTAATTTAAAATTCATAGAAATGTATGTTCTAAGGAAATATTAACCAAGATATGAAAAAAAACACCCTCTTACAGCTGTTTGTGTACACATGCCAACAATCAGAAAGCCATGCCATGTGCTTATCCTCATTCAAACTGTGGGGCATGGTAGTGGAGCTATCATAGTATGACACGACATTGCTGTCCTCGGAATTAAATATATATATATATATATATATATATATAACTTACAAAAAAATTGAAAAAACGAAAGATAAGAAGAGTGAAAAAAAGACTGTGTTGCTATTGTCTGAGTGTTTCTCCTTGTTGTGTAAATACATTCACACATTGCAAACATCTCTGAGGTTTTTCAGTTGGAAATCCAATACTTCCCTGAACATATGTGTGTGTTTGCATTGGTTAGATTGGGAGACGTGAAACAGGAAAGAGCTGGATTCTGGCGCCCCGTACCTTTGAGTATGGTCATGTTGATGTAGGTGCGGACTTCGGGCACGTGTCTGAACTCTCTCAGAGGCGGCGGGTCTCCGCTGCCCTCTGCTGGCCCCAGATGGTCACAGCGACAGTGGCTGCAGGGGTCAGGTGGAGCACTGGGATGAGGCCCCATGGCCACCGGGGAGGAGAGGGACAAGAGGAGGAGGAAACCCAACATGTCTGTCCCTACAGAGGAACAGCACAAACGTTTATTTGAATAGCACCAGAGCTTGGGATCCTTTATCTGAGCTCCTTCTGCCGGGTGGAGACTTTAGGTCGACATTTGCTGTGCCATGAGGTTGATTTTGGAACAAAGCTTAATGTAAACCTCAAGTTCTAAACACCAGTTTTTGTTTTAAAAGAAAAAAAAAGAACATCACGATGCCTCTGATGGGTTCTCCAGAGAGAATGTGTTTACACATCACAGCTGGATTCCAAATGACAGCTGTTTCTCTCAAATGCCTTTGCTCATACCTGGCTATCATTCTGTGCAAGAGCAGTGAAATGTGATGAAAAAGCCAATGATGGTTTATTCTAATGCATCACATGAGGTGATCCCGCTGTTTTCCCCATCTGTGCGTGCAGGCATGGTGGTGGCAGAAAGTAGAAGCAGAGGGAGGCACAAGTCGATTAAACGGACAGAATAAAACGACACGGTGGTGTTCAGTCAGAGTCTTCAGCTCCCCTGCCGCACAGAGCAGTTTAATGGATCATTCATATATTTAATTTAATTTGATTTCATTTAATTTAACTTAAACCCTTTCTAAATGCAACAGAATTTCATTAAATTTCTAATTAGGTGTGTATCAAAAATCTATTTGCAGGGAATGACTAAACTAATTGGAAATTATGTTTCTGCACCACCCCAGGGAGAATAATTGCCTCACCCGGCAAAATTTTCTGGCTCCTCCACCGCGCAGCCACTTTTACGAGAACTCCACCTTCTTTGTAAACACATTTCCACTGGACACGTCTTTAAATTCAAGGGCAAAGTTCTCTGGCACCGTAGCGTGGTCCAAAAAGTTAGGGGAAATCGCTTTTCCTCGGAGCGAGGATGCGTTTGCAATTCCCTCTCGGCTCGGCTCACGCTCGGCCCAAATCCCTCAGCTGGCCCTGCTGGCCTTTGCTATGATATCATCTCTGAGTGGAAACAGGCAGCTCGTGTTAAGACAAACACGCCAGAACCAGAAGTCGGAATTCCGTGCAGGGTTCATTCACTGACCAGGCACATTACATAACTCCTTTTTTCCTTTTCCTTTTTTTCCCCCTTTTGGTGAAAAGCGGAAATCTGAACTGGGAGCTTGTGTAAGGAGTGAAAAAAGGCAACAAAAGCAGCTATAAAAAAGATGCCTTAGCAAAGTAACTGAACTTTACAAACACTGAATCCTTCTGCAGCTGTCACACATCCCTCTGCTCCCCACTGGGTTGCTGAGCACGTTTTTCCGTGCTGTGCTCATGCACCTACTGCTCTGAGTGAGTTTTTGAAGTGAAGGGGCTCTCACCTCATTCAGGTTTGTTCTTCAATCCGCTGAGGAGGAGGCGAAGCTTCCTGAGTCAGCAGTCCTCTCTCTGTAGGTCTGTGAGAAAGACTTGGGAGCTCCTTCCCTCTTTTTTGCTGAGCCCTCCTTTATGCGGACTCTGGCAACAAGTGCTCTGTGACACCACATCTATCGTGACAGCTTTTGCTCTTGGAAAGATTGCTTGGTGACCCCAAATACACAACACCTAGAAGAAAAAAAAGAACCTTGCATTTAAGAAGCAAGAAAAGACAAGAGGAGTGTGATTCATTTTCCCACCAGATGTGATATAACATCACAAACCACCACTGGGTTAAACTTCTGGTCATTGTCTCCAGGGTCCAGACTTCCGCAGTGCAGAATTCCAGCCGTGCTCCCAAAAAAAACACCCCTTAGATCAGCTGCAATGACTGAGAAAGACAAGTTGAAAGAAAAAAAAAGGGGGGGGGGGGGCAGGTGGTGTAGATCTTTATCTCCTGTTAACACGTCACAGCAGCAGATCATTTAAATGCTCGCTTCATAGATAAATTCCACTGTGAGAAGATGTTGAATGCTAAATTGTAATTTGACGTTGCAAAATGTTTTTGTTTTTTTTGTAGTGTAGGCAGGATAAAACAAGCTATTGAAGAGGTTTAAACGTCAAACACAGAACTGTTGGAGCATCTCACAACTACTGATGGTGCTAAACCACATCAGGCTGAGAAAAGACAGAATATGCCAGAGACTTTCGAGAGGAAAGACAGGGAGTCTGGAAGAGTCCTAACAGGGTTAATGTAACACCATTCTTATATTCTGTCTTTTTCCGTTCATTTTTCAATTAAATTAAAGATTGAGAATGACTCAGATTCAATTGCTCCCTGCTTTCTTGGCCGTTTACCTTGTGTACAGACAGACTGCCAAAACAGAGCGGGACCACAAATATGCGTTGTATGGGGACATTTAGCAGCAAGAACATTTTGTTCGAACATTTGCGGACAAACGGGGCCGTGATGGGCTCCTGCTTATGTAATGCCCATTTTATCTCATCTGCATGGCCCCTCACCGCTCTAATGTGAGCTCCACCAGACCTGGAGACGGATGTGGATCAGACCACAGGGACAGCTCGCAGAGATCTTATCCACCAGCACAGAAAAACCCTGCACAGTTAAAGATCCTGCTGCCAGTCTCTCACATTTGTTCGTTTCTAGTGGAGATGACTGACGGAGCTGCAAAGAAACAAGCCAGAAACATTTATTTTCAAACTGTTTAACTGTTTTATTTGGAAAGACTGGAAACCTTTGGGTCAGACTCATCCTAGTCTCATGGTTTTCTTACATTGACAGTTTTTTGTTAAAAAAAACAACTCTATTGTAAAAGACTCAGAAGGGAATAAAATGGCTGCATCTTTTTTACACAAATGCATCCATTTTGTGCTCCTTGAGGAGGAGGAGGAGGAGGAGGAGGAGGAGGAAGCTGAGGTTGTAACATGATCTTGGTTTGTGAGCTCTGCTGCCTGTGGGTCCTAAGGGCCGAGCGTCCGTACTCTTTCATGTGGTTCCACCAGAGGAACATTCCTCCTCTACTGGGACCAACGCAAACTATCAACAGGAAGTTTGGTATCTGCAGCCTCACAGGACAGAGAATCCGAATCCCTCCCCCTTTAGGCCTGGTGTGAGGAGTAGACCTCCTGATCTGTACACTTTATATAAAAACCACCATAAAACCCAGTGGAAAGCTTCAGCCCCCCCCCCCCCCCCCCCCTGCTCAGCTACACTCCTGTGGTGATGTCTTGTTGTTCTCTTCTTCTCCACCTCCACCTTCAACGTGCCGTTGTGTACTGATGCTGATGGTGGGGACCAGAGGTGAGGCCACGTTTCAAACCTCAAAGCGTTCTTGCGGTTCCGCTCAGGGAAAAAACAAAAGAGCGACGAGTCATAAAGCAAAGCGTGGCTCACCTTAATCTGAAACATGTGTGCTTTACAAAAGCAGCTGATTTGAAAAAAAGGTTTACTCTCCGCTATTCACATTTCATTTTGCACAGTTTTTTCATTTTTATAGATATCAGCAATTCACTAAAGCAAATTAATGTATTTCCTTTGTTTTAAGGACGAGTTGAGCAACAAAGTGTTGAACCCCTGTGGTGTCCCCCCCCCCCCCCTCCTCCTCCTCCTCCTCCTCCTCCTCCTCCTCATCTCAGCATCTCTCCACACAAAGAGCTCCCGGTCAGCCTGTCCTCACACCCTCTCATTCCTCTGTGGGTTGGATCCCAAACAAGCCCTGAGTTTTTCTAAGGAGGTTTTTTTTTTTCATGTTTAGTTCTCTCATTTGGAGAGGGAGCAGGAGAGATCACGCCCGAGCAGTTTTCAGGTTTTTAGGGTCACCTAGTGGTAAAAAGCACGAGGTGCCTCTTTATTCCATCTAAGACGAGGACTGCTCGACCTGTTGCTGTAGCCCCGGTCATATTTTGTACATTTTACATCCTATCAGAATATTTTCCTGCAGCTTTTCAGTGAACAATACATTCTTTTTACGTTATTTATTTATTTTCAAAGCCAAATGAATGCCCAAGAAATGTCAAGGAAAACAAATGATTGCTAGAAATTCCCACCTTCTTGTGCTTTTCATAGTTAGACTCAACCTCACAGCCTTTTTGCAGCTCAGATTGTTTGTATCTAAACTGAACATTGAGTTTTTTCTGATGTATTTTACTAACCTAATATGACTATTTGCCATCCTTTCTTGCCAACAAGTGTATCCTACATAAATATGACAACACTTGCGTACTCACTGGTATCCAGGATTCAACTAGCAAATCAGATGTTTCCATAAAGATTAAAATAAAATAATATATGTGCATATGTATATATCTATATATGAATGAAGGGAACTAGTGATCATCATCCTTTTACCTGCAGTTAGAAGGATACGATGCTCTTCTTGCTGAGATGAATTGCAACAGACAAAACGTTATCTGGAGAGGGATTCAGAACCAAAAAGCTGCTTTTGTTCATATTTTGATAAAGCGGTGCATCACATTTTGAGGGGGAATTCAGCACAATGTTGTGCAACAGATGAAGATTGTGGAAACACTGTTGAGAAGTTGTCACTTGCGTGGGTTCTCACTGATATGGATGAATATTGTAAATTCTGTGTGAGGTGAGCGGATGTGACTGGTTGTGTCAGAGTTAAATGTCAAACCACACTCTAATTTACTTGCTCACTCACACATACACCACCAGGACCACCTGACAGGACATGTAAACACTCAGATCTACATCAACATACTCACAGAATACAACACACACACACACACACACACACACATGCAACCCACGCTGTCTCCCACACTCTTTCTGAAGTTTGCGCACATGCCCGACCCTTAGCTCTCTTTCCACAGCAGCACAGGAAGTCACAGGTTGACCCATTTCTACACGACTCTTTATTTTGTTTGGTCTTTCTACAGATGTCACCGAGTGCAACGGAAATTTAGCTGCATGTGTGGACACAAAAGAGGACGCATTTATCACTGACCACGATGATTTATGGAGCACGGCTCTGTGGCCAGAAGTCTAATTCTGCGCCTGCAGGCACTGACACAGTTCTGCAGTAAACTGCACCAGGTGCAGCTTCAGTGAGGGGCAGAAGTCGGTTTCTGGAGCTGCAGAGACATTTATTTATCACGCAGTGTGCACATTTATGAGCACGTTGAGCTGAAGACTTGAATGATTCCAGAGATTTAAGCCATTTAACTAACCCTCACCCTAACAGTGGGTATCATAACAAATCGTGTCCCATGAAATTTTTGGTTTTCTCAATATTTACGTCATCATCACACCTCACAAAAGCCATGATCCCACCATGAAACAGGACCGCTTTGCGTTAGCAGAACATTCAGGACATTAAAAAGCTGTATTAAAGAGCTAATTGTTGATAATCGAGTTCAAATAAAAAAGCAGACTGCAAAACAACTTCTATTTATTTCTTTTTGTCAGACAGTGGAATCGTTGGTTGATGGCAGCATTCAGTTTCAAAAGAAAAAGTGTGAAGAAAATCTCAACCAAATGAACTTCTCTGAGTAAAGCTTGTAATGTTCATGTACATCTGTGCTTGTGACAAACTCTCAAGCTGCTAATGCTCAATCCTTACTATGTACTTAGCGTTTTCCTGCATGCAAGATATCTGAACAAAGTGATATAAAAATATTGACATCACTCCACCTTCTTATATACAAAGTGATCAAATGGTCAGATTTATCTCCAGTCTCCAGTCAGAGAACATGCCCAAAACCTCCTTTTTGCTGCTAGCAGGAGCAGTAAGGCAGTTCAAATAAATGCATTGTAGATTCTTAAAAGAAAACCTAATAGATATGCTGTAGTATGACATGTAAGATCATGGCTTGCTGCTTTTTCTGCAGAGCTAACTGAGGGCAACGTGACTTTGTGGGAAGTAGGGAGTTAGATTAAAAGTTAGTTTAGAACAATCAAACTAAAAAGTTTGTTTAAAAAGAAAAAGTTGGAGCATTTTCTTGAATGCAAAAAAATAAAAAAGCCTGATGGGGTTGTGTTAGATGATTTGGCATTTCACTACCAGCAGTATGATCAGTTTAGTGAGTGAGAGGTGAGGGTGTCGGGATTGGGTCTAAAAATGGGAATCAATCAGAAACTTATTTTTTCAAAGCTGATGTCATCTGCAGTGCATGTTATAATATAAAGCATGAGGAGGTCTAAGGCTAATACTGTCACATTGGCTTCAAAGAATCTTGAAAAACCATTTCACAATAACAACACAATAACTGAAACAAAAGCTGGCAGCTACAGAACCACTCTGCACACAAATGCAGATGGGATCTCCAGACACAAGCTTGTCTCAAGATAAAAGAATGACGGAGGACATGTTTTCTGTTGTCAGAATAGGCCAAGCTTCAGCTGCTGCTAAAACCAAAAAGATCAGTCTCCACAGACTATTGAGCGGACTGGTGAACGTCCTCCATTTTCCTCCCGAATTTGTACTTTTCGTACAGTTCGATGAGGGTTGTTATTTGTTGGTCTGCTGGCCTGTAATGTGATCCTGGGGCTCAGAAAGGTTTTTTTCAGATGGATTTGTTGCTGAATGTTGCCTGCAGCTCTTTCAGTGTCAGATAGCCGGTTTCAGAGGGTTCCACGGGCATGGAGGAGGACCTGCTCATGGCGCTGGCAGCGAGCCAGGCCGTGGAGCTGCCCCTCACAGCTGTCCCAGCCACAGCTGCAGGCTGACCGTCCGAGGACGTCTGAGGATGAGCGGGAGCAGGGGGGGGCGAGGGGCAGGGGAGATGCTGAGGGAAGACAAACAGGGGAATGGTTTGATCACTCAAACCCTTCTCTTTCAGATCCACGCCTCTTGCATAGTCCTTTCCCTCTTCCTCTCCAAAAAGGCCGCATCCAGAGTCGGGGCTCTCTGGCTCCCTCTTCAGGCTCTCATAATCTGGGCAAGACACCAGAGGAAAGTCCACGGACAGGTTGTGGCCGAGGCCGCGGGACAAATGGCCGAAAGCGTCCCGATAGGTGAAGTATTCTGCAATGTGGTGAGAGTAGGCCGGGTCACCGGAGGAGCCGGAGATAAAATAGCCCACGTTGGAGAAAGTGGAGAAGGCGGAGGAGCTGCAGACGATTCCGCTGGTGTCGGAGCCGGAGGAGGGGTAGTTCTGGGGGTGAAGGAGGGCCTTTGTGGAGCCAGCGGACGGGGAGGGGCTGGGGATCACATCCCAGTCTCCACACACCTCCACCGGGGAGATGTTCTCACACGTCTGCGCTGTGAAGGAGGATTCGGAAAGCGAGAGGGGATTGAGCCATTTCTAGAAAAAAAACAGGGAGAAAGATTCAGAAAAATGCTTTGCTTGATTCAACTTCTAACTCCATACTTTCCAACCAATTGAAATCCCAAAGAGAGCTCTGCTGACTTGCCCAGATGGTCAGCATAAATGTGAGTTAATGTAAATTAGGGACGTACACTGAGAACGTTTGTTTTTACCTTTAGGTCTCCTTCATGGTTGGAGTTGAGAGTGTGGAAATACTCCGATGGGTTCGGTATTGGCCTCACTTTGAGGAGTCTGACAGGGAATAAATGAGGGATTAGATGAGCACACATGTGACTAACTGAGCGGTACATAATGCTACTGAACACTTACTTCCTGCTTTTGCAGCACTTGTAAAAGATCAGTATAACAATGAGGATGAGACACAAGCCGATTGCGAATCCCGACACCATCGGCCACCAGCCTGAAAACATTTGGTGATTTTTTATATTTTTCATGAATATGTCCGTGCACACAGCATGAGTTCAAGCTGTTAAATCAAATTCATTAAATGATTTCATCACATTTGTGAGTAAACTTTCTTTGGCATCTGTGCGGGGTGAATCACGCTTCAAAACCATTCTGTTTGTGGTGGACAAACACTCAGTTGTCATTTATTTCCTCAGCCGTTTTCAGAGTACTTCTCTGCATTATTGATGCAGAAGAGGAAAGCACAACAACCCCCCCCCCTGTTGCAAAATAGCCCGAAGGATCTTTTTTATGTTAAGTCTGAGTTGCTCTGACAGATGTTAAACTCTGACTGATCTGACCTAAATGCACATTTCCTCAGCATGTTGGTTCATAGCAACATGTCGGCTTTAAAGGGGTTAAGTTGGTAGAATCCAAAAGGAAGCAACTTTGTGTTTAGTTTTTTATATATTGTTTCACCTATAGATGCTTGAATGCTTTGAAACAGATCAGTTGACACACAGATGCTGGTCTAGTTTGCATTACCTGAGCGTTCCTCCCCGTCCGTCCCCCAGGATGCCGTGGGGCTCCAGCTGCTCCAGCTGCAGCCTTCCCGCTCGCCGGGCTTGACCCTCACCCTGGCTGTAAAGCGGCCCTTCTTATCAAATTTCAGTTCCATCTTAGCTGAGGGGAAAGTCATGGCCTCCTGGGGACAGACCAAAATTTCGCCATTCGTCACATCTGGATTGCCTAAACAGTGAGAATCTCCGACTGTTCCTTGTTGCTTCTGTTTGTGTTTGCGTTTGTATGAATGATGAGCGAAACCAAGCACAAACCACATGGGAAATAAAACCTTTGCCTCACTCGACGTGCTACAAAACTGAATGCAGTTATTAGGCATGGTGCAGATGTGGAATCTGAGGGCATGCCTTTGGTAGCTCACCGTCCAGGGCTGGCTTTTCTTTTTGATCTGGACTTCGAAGACAAATTTGGATTTGAAGTAGAAGGAGACGTTGCCTTCCAGCTTCCATGAAATGGTGGTACCGTTTTCGTTGCTGGTTACATTAGGAGCACCTGGGGGGTGCATTCTGACTGTAGGACCGCAAAAGAAAGGCACATTAGACCAATCAAAACCGTTTCCCCTTCTTTCTTTTTCTTTCTTTCTTTCTTTCTTTCTTTCTTTCTTTCTTTCTTTCTTTCTTTCTTTCTTTCTTTCAAGAAAAAAATATTTTTCCACTTTGCATCAAATTTCACTCACTGTGATTCTTTGGCCTAAAGTCTTTAAGCCTGTCCACTACGGTGCCGTTGCACTGGAGTCTGATGTCCGGCATCACTTCAGCCTCACTGAAATGCTGGCGGACCCAATAAATCATTTTAAATCAATATAGAGAAGTGGAGTGCTCAGTTTGACAATGACACAAAAAAGAAGCATTGAGCGACTGGGAAAAAAGGAGAAAAGGGTTCGTATGTTTGAGCGTTGCGCTCTGGACTTACTTTATTTTCAAAGACGAGGCTGCAGCCGGGAGGCGCGTCTCTGAGCTGCTCCAGCTTGCAGCTTTGTCTAATTCAAAAAGAGAAATCACATGAAATATGTCCCCTCTTTAATCACAGGTTTGGTTTTTCTCTCCTTCATTACTGCAAAAAGAAGCAGTTGTTCCTACAGCTGTCCTTGTCTTACGTTATTGGTTTGCTCTCTCTACGGATCCAGATTTCCTTCTCGCCGAAAATCCAACAGTCCTGGGCAGGACCCAGCCGGGAGCCGGTCCAGCTGCAGCTGACGGTGTTGACGAAGTCATTGGTGCAGACCAGACCTTGTGACAAGCAAGGAGAGAGATGTTAGAGTGGCCTTTGAGTGCCAGTGAACACAGAGGATCATACCGGGTCATACCGGGAGAGCCTTTGTGAGGGTGAGACGAACACCCTGCAAGCAGAACCACCAGCATGGACAGGATGGACAGGGACCAGGTCAGCCGCTCCATGGCCGCCACCGCCGGGTGACTGCGAGCAGACAGAGCAGACGACAGTCAGACAGACGAGTGCAGCTCATAGACTCTCACCACCTAACTCGTTTCTGAAACCCCTGTCGTCATTGTCCTCAGATGTGAGTACGATACGCCCCCAACCCCAACCCCCCCTAAACCCAACAAGCATATCACTCATCCTGAAAGAGCGGCGGTCGTCACCAAATTAAACTAAACAGCCCCTTTAACACACATGCAAAGCACTTGTTTTGGCCCAAATTTAAATCCAAGTCTCCGGCTAAAGGGAGCTCAGTTTCCGTGGCAGTGACCCATCAGGTAACACGTTCTGACTCCATCACTTTCTCTTTAAGATAACTTCCACAGCGTGGGTCTGTCAGGGCTCCTTCTTTCCACCAAAGCCCAGACTTCGGCCCACACCAGCCGGAAAAGCGGAGGGCAGCACATGAACATGCAGGACGCTTCTGTTTATTTAAAAATGCCATGCTTTTTTCAACAAAAAAAAGAGCAAATGACAGATCCTAATGTACAGACTTTCTGCGTTTTAAAGCAATAAGAGGAAACCTTGCCTTATACTATCCATCCTCATGTCACAGATAAGCTTGAAAAAGTACCTTGAGAGTGTGTGTAGCAGGCGGCCAAGAGGAAGAAGCGCATCAACGGTCGCTGTTGTGGAATGAGGAGAAGATCTTGACTTTGATGCCTCTCCGTCCCTCTTTCTTGCTCTACAAACTTTTTGAACCGCTCTCTCACCGTCTTATGCAACCTGTCGCTCATCCCTCCGTCTCCTCGGTCTCACATCGTCTCATTGTTTGACGTGCCCGGTGACATTTTCCACTTTGAAACCGCAGCTTGTGCATGGGTCTGACAGGAAGCCTCGCGCAGTGGTGAGTGATAGTGAGAGGGGACAGGCCGGGGTGGAGAGCGACAGGAGGTGTTGGTGTTAGTGGAGGGAAGGGTGGGGGGGTGTGGGTAGGTGAGAGGAAGGGAGGGGGAGGAGGAGGAGGGGGGAGGGAGGATGGGGGTGCGCTCCCAGCTCAGACTCTCCTTCTTCTCCCCACCGGCTGCTGCTGTGTGGGGCTCCAGTGCTCGTCTGGGGGCGCCGATAATTGCCCCCCCCAGAAAAACGAGAAAAACAAAGCAAACACCACATCCTCTTTCAATCACGACGCAGAGTGGGGTTGTAGAGACACAGAAACTCTCCCGGCTATGAAGTGGTTTGTTTTTTGGGTGAAACGTTGCTTGAAAATAGCTGATTCGAAAAGATTAAAGGGGGCTAAAAGCGGGCCCCCCCGATTTAGAAACTCTGGAGGTTTGCACAGAGGCAGCCTGCTCCTCGCCGGGGGGGTCACCAGACGCTGCAGCTGTAGCTGCAGGCCTCGGGTCATTTGTACAGGGGAAAGAAAAAAAAAAAGCTTCCCAAAAAATGCGTGCTCAATTCGTTATGAATAAGCAGTTCCTCATTTCAAAACACCTCCGCAAAACACTGCAAAACACCGGGTGCTCAACGTCGCCCCGGTTTGAGCTGAAATGTCAAAGCGCGCCTGCTGTAATGACGGCGGATCGATTCAGATTTGTGCGAAGCTGGAAGTTGGAAACGGGGGCCATTGCATAACACGCCTCCGTATGACTTGTAGACACCTATAAGCCACAAAGTGTCGGTGTGTACTGCTTGAGAGTTACTGCGACGCTCAGTGTTTGCCCTTTTCCCTTGCAGTGGGTCAGAGTAGCGGCAGCTATGACCAAAAGTCAACTATACGTGACAGCAGAGGAGGCTGGGGGGGGGGGGGGGGGGAGGGAGGTGTGCGGTGGGGGTGCGGTGGGGGTGCAGTAGGTAGCGCTCCACCAGAGCAACATTTTCTCACTCAAAGGTCAGAGTCCACCGGGCCTGTGGCGGGAAGCCGCTACCAAGACCAGAGTGATGTTTGTGCTGGGAAACCAAAAAGAAAACAGCCCTGAATCAGACTTGCCACAAACATGACAGCGGGGGTGGGGGGGGGGGTTAAGAAGGTGAGAAGAGCAACAAGAAGGTGCAATGAAAACAAAAAAAACAAAAGACCAAACAACAGACAAAACACAAAAATTGAACAATCGAGATTTCTCTTTAAAAAAAACTATATTGAGATAAGATCTGTCTCTGTTTCTCTCTCTCTCTCTCAATAAACATATGTTATTTTCCTTTAGAGCTGTTTAATGACTCATCAAATGCTGATGCAAACGGTGAAATGTGTTCCATTCCTGTAAGTAAGGCCTCAGTAAGTGACTAATCTTAACATCCGGCCATGCAGCGAACAGCCTATTAAGCGGGCAAGGTGTAAAACTTTACACTTAGTCCATCCTCACTATGAAACGAGTTGTGGTTTCGTATAAATGAATGGCTTTTAACAGCTTTTCGTTACCTCGATCTTCCTCTGCCGTAAGGCACGGCTCAGCTCTGCGACTGTGTTGACTGGAGCAGGCTGTGACAAAAAAGAATGCTTTTCGGTGGTTTCTGTTAAAACCACTTCCATTACGCAACTCCACACACTATGCGATGAATATCTCCATCGGCGCCACGGGGCATTCATTAATTCAGTAACAGTTTGAGTGAAGAAACAAGGTTTTCTCTATGGGAGCTCAACTAAACGGGTTCTTGATTTAAGCGAAATGATAGTTTTGATTTTCCTTTTGCACAAATTGCTGATAATTGGTTAAGGAAGATACCACAAAACATCTCTGTCAAACCGAAACAAATCTTTTAATGGTATTTTAATGAGTTGAATTTTGTTGTTGTTATGTTTCCACGACGGCACGAAGCATCCCCGGCTAGTCCGTGTTGTGGGGTCACAGTAGGGAACGGGGGGGTCATCTTGCTGGGCCTTTGTTTTCCATCTGCAGCAGTAGCTTATTCAGCCTCTGGTTCATGATGTTTTTCTCTGTCCACTGGACTGCAGAGACAGACACAAGCATATTTGAAAAAAAAGACAAAACATCAAACAAATCAAAGCGCTGCAACAACCACACCGGGACAAGGAACTGACCCAGTTCGTCTGTTCTGTGCCCGTACCAGGCATGCGGGTCGGGGGGCCAGTTTGTCATGGGGTGGGCGGTGAAGGAGTCCCTGTTGTTGGTTCTCCAGGCTGAAGGGGCACCTGCAGACAGAGTGCACAGCAGAACATGAAGGAGAAGAAATGCAACATCTAAAAAAGCTGCAGAATTTTGAAGTGGTGGGTATTTGTAAGGCCCTGTTATTCCCCTGAGTCCAGATCAGTGAGAATTTCATGCTTGATTCCTGCTCTATATATTTGATTCATTAATCAGTTCAAAAGGGTAAAAAGAAGCAGATGTCAGATTAACTCTGAACAGGGCAAGAGATGCTAAAAACAGACTAAGAACGGGTCAGTTAACACCTGTGTGTCCTTTCTCCTGAGCCTATTTGAACATTGAGCTATTTTGATATATTTAGCCACCAAAATGTAGGTTTTAGATGTCTTTTTTGTTCTAGAATCTCAGGAAATTTGAGGAATTTGTCATTTTTTAAAGACTGCTCGTTAAAAAAAAAGAAACACTACCGCTTATAAAGTATTTAAGGAGTCTTGTATTTAACCATGTCTTATCTGGAATCCCTTCATGCGCTGCCTTAACCTTATCTGACATTAATGAGATCAGGAAACGACTCTTTCCCAGCTCTGGACTGCTTTGTTTCATCCTCTGGGGGTAAAAAAAAAGGAAGACCTAAAGGAAACAGTTTATGTGAACAAACCTGGAAATAAGTTAGTGCGAAGGCACTGGCTCAAACTGCGATAGTCATGATGCTGCGGGGGGGGTCCAGCATCAGCACAGTGGAGCAGTGGCGAGGTCAGGAACCCAACGGCGCCCGCCTGCAAAACCGGGGGGGCCAAGAGGAGAGACACCAGTAAAACGGCCCCCTGTTCAGGCCCTGCAGCAGCAGGTCTGTGGAGCCAATAACAAAAAAAACATTGTTTTTCTCACCTTCTTCCCCGCCACTTTCTGTTCTTTTTGGTCAAATGAAGTCATCCTGTGATGAAAAACAGCTGCAGAGGTGAGGCCGAACAAAACCAGAGACAGTGGAGGTGTTGAGTTTCTGTAGAATGCGATGCTAGACATCCGAGAACATTACATCAGGTTACACCTCTCAAAGAAAAAAAACAACTAAAAAACTGTGATGTTTAACCGCAACCTGGCTTTGCGGTTCAGGTCTTAAAAGGTGACCAAAAAAAACAAGAGAGCCAAAGTCCAGCGACGAGTTCTCTCTGTGACTTAGGAGCAAAACACCTCAAACAGGGCTCATTTAAACGTACGGTGTTGTGTGTATTGTGTAAGAGACTCAGATGCTATCGTGTGTGCTCATTTGGTGTCGTCAGTTGAAAGGACATGGCTCCAAAAGTCTGGCGCTTTGCTGGTACTGACATCTGGATAAACTCAGACTTTTCTTGTCTCTCTTGTCAAGCGATGGACTCCAATTGGTTCAGAAAAGGCCTTTGAGTACTTCCAAGATTGATGGGCTTCAGCAATGGCTAAACTGAGGTCACAGCAGATGTCGTGTAACGATTTCTGTCCTGATAACTCAGCATGAAATGTCAGTAATGAGCCTGGAGATGTGGAATTTACTGGAATCCAGCTCATTTACTCCCATGATTTACAGACTGATATCTCATTACTTTTGTCTTCTTTTACTTGAAAAGTGGATCATCCCCCTAAACTAAAGAAAAAGGAAAGGTCCTCTACCGAGTAAGAATACTGCCAGGTAAAATACCGATACAAGAACAAAAAACTAAAACAATGTACTGATTAACCCCCCAAAAAATGAAACTTACACTTTTAAAATGTTTATTCAACTTTATTTCACAATTCCAGACCATGTACTGTGTCCTTTGTTATATCACTCACAATGTCAACTGGCTAAAACAATATAAAACATAACTTCCACAGTTTTCTGTTATTTATATTATGTACATGCACTCAGAAATTTCGAGGCAAAAAAAATTTAAAAAAGGAAAGAAAAAAAAAATCTCAGGCCTATGTCTACCCTCAAGTGCACTTTTCTGTTGCCATTCGTTGGTTTCTGAGGGGCCATTCCAATGAGGAAACGGTTTGGGCTTTTGACGATGTTTTGTCCATCTTATACGGTGTGTTAGAAATGGACGAATCAAACAAAACCACCCCGACAGGTTTAACTTTTTTTGTTGTTTTTTTCTTTTTGTTGTTTTTTTTTTTTACAATGCGAGGTCGCTGTATGACACTACGGCATCTTTGGGAGAAGACGACACTGATCATGAATGAGCATGGCGGGGGGGTAACTTTAAAATACTTTCTGCTGGATTCAAACAAAGAATCTTTACAACACTTATCTTGTATTAGAAGAATGGAGGATTGGCTTAAGGACAGCTGTGAGCCTCTGGCCTCACTTTCAGTCTTCTAAGTGCATCCTTTAAAAAGGGACAGAGCTTCTCTTCCTAATTGCCAGAATTTGGTTGATAACCAACACATTTGTGCTAGGATTGTCTTTTTTTTTTCTTTTTCTTACTGAAGTACTTTTTTTGTTTTACTCTCAGACGCAGATGGGTGTTTGATAAAGATGGACCTCGGTTGTGCTTCTGGCTGCAGTGTTGCAGCTCGCGCGAACACTCATAGAAAAACTACACACAACACTTCTGAGCTCCCACTGCGTTTATAAAATAAAATAAAATAAAAAAAATGGAGGAGGGGATCGGCAGAGGAAAATGTCCTCTGCCGATCCATACACAGAGTGGTTTGGATGTAATGTCTTATTTGTACAGCTCTGTTGACACAGTACTAATGGTATTCATGGAGGCACGGGTTCGCTTAGCACTGATGGGAAAGAAAGTGGAGAAATGGATTATACACAGATGCTGGCACCATCGGCTCTGAGCTGAAGATGCCTCAATATCTTTTTTAAGACAGGTACAATCTTAATCGTGTTGAATTTTTGTCGTTTATGAAAGGAAGAGGATTTTGTTTTTTTTGTAACCTGTGCAACTGTATAATACTCAAAAAGTGGATTCTTATTTGAGTGGTCCTTCAGGCGCCTCCTGTCCGTCTCCACTGTGGTGCCGGCTGCTCCGGTGGGACCCAGCGCAGCGCTTCCCTCTAAGTGGGGGCAAACTTCTTGGCCTGTGCCCTTACCCGCTTCTCATAGTCCATCCTGTTCTGACTACAGTGGTTAAGCAAAAAAACAAACACAGAATCTGAGAAGCAGTGTGTTTCTTCAATATCACAAGCACACAAACCAAAAAGAGGATGTAACAGTTCATTAATAAAGTTTTGGCTCCGTACCAGTAAATTGTGTAAGCTTCTGCCTGTGCCGGGTCTTGAATGTTAGGCTCATTCAAGAGCTCCTGAATACCCAACAGGATCTGCAAATTAACCAACAGGTATTAATTAGAGTAGCATTTTAGTGAGCCTTCATCGCCCACCACATAGACAATTAATAACCGGATGGAAAATAACCGAGTCCAAACCTGTTTAATGGTGATGGCGGGTCTCCAATCTTTGTCCTCCTCCAGGATGGACAGGCACACTGTGCCAGATGGGTACACGTTTGGGTGGAAGATGGGTGGCTCAAACTTGCCTGAGTGGGCATGATAAAAAGAAAGTTAAAAAACAAAGACAAACAGAGAATATAGAATTGAAAGTTTCAGTTGCAGAATACAAAGTAGATATTGTAAAAATCCATCATTACCTAGTCATCATTAAGTGACTCACACAATGTCTCTAAAACACAAGAGGATCTGTGAGAGTGCCGCCACTGTGCAACAGTCAGCTACATCCTGACGTCTACCGGCCAACAACACTGACCACACTCATTCAGGTCATTTTAGCAGTCGCGCTCGCACCATGCCACACCCTCTGATCAACATCCCATCTGTGCAGCCAAAGACTTTATGCTGAGCTTTCTACCCTCAAAAATGTACATTTTGTCCCTTTGATGCAACACGTAACAAAGGACAGCAGCAGAACTGGTACTCACATTTGGGGGGAGAGGAGGGGTAGTCGTCTTTGAAAAGCATTCGGAGTTTATAAAGTCCTCCTTCCCACAAGGTCTGAGGAAAGAAAAGTTCAAATAAGCCTTTCAGTGAACTCCAAGACAAAATCTAAAACCTCATTAAACAATAACAGACTGAGTGACTAATAATTTAATTTGATTTATTTAACTCAAATTGGAGTCGAACGTAGTACAGAAAAATATGGAGAGGATTTGTTAATAAATCAAACAAACTGTGGAAAAGTTGCTGTTTTAACCTGGGAGTGTAGAATGACAGCAAAACTATACAACCGGGGCTTCATGTTTTGGAGTTTCTATATCTGATAATACAGTAATAGGTTCAGTAAGGCTTAACTAGCCTCATCTTTATGTCCACTTCACATGATGTTGCATTTGCTGAGCTTTAGAAGTGGGAAACTGAAACTCTCATTACTAAATAGAACACTCACACCCACAAAAAATATGCTTTCCAACCGACAACATAATATATGCTGGGTTGACTCCATAACGTAACAATTATACATACTAGTTGTTGATACATGTTTGTAATGTGTTTTTGTTGAACATACTCCTTTTTTCCCCGGGATGGCACACTCCCAGTTCATCAGATTCATAGTTCCATCCGGATTCTTAGTGGGAACAGCAACAAAACCCTGTAAAGTTCACACAAAAGTCATTAGAGCCAACTGTGATCATTCTGGAACGCCACATCAGTTTAGAAAGACAATGTGTTGTTCAGCTGCAGCTTACAAAAGGGTGGTCTTTCCTCCAAGCTTTGCGCTCCTGAGATAGTCTGCTAAGAGCAATGCCAGACATGACTGCTCATCAACGCCTCCCTGTGGCAAAACAAACCAAAAGTCATCAATCTCATTCAAGCTGTACACAGGGGGTATGCATGTTTTTATTATTTATACCTATACCACGACGAAACCTGAATTTCTTTATGCATAGTCACTCGTTATTGGTTAATAAGACTGTATTCATGTAAAAATGATTGGTTTGAGCCAGTACGGTCCCGAAACAGGGCCGAAAAAACTACTCAAGGAGACGACTAATAAACAAATTAGGCTCGACCAAGTGTGAAAACATTTTTTTTTAAAGTACACTTACCACTTCTTTTTATTATCTAACGAAGATGTCACAATTGGCGTAAGGTTTGTTTCGGCGCTAGCTTGCCTGCGTCGCTAATGCTAACGCTCCCTTCGCTCTGACGGCGACTGGTGGAAAAAAGCGTTAAAAAAAAACAAACCACCGTTCCAGTTAGGGCGAAAATTTCAACGCCGTTTTAAGCATTTGTTTTTACAATGTTGCCTAGACACACAAGTTTAAATTCAAAGATAGAATTGGGGTTAATCTGACAGAGTGATGTAAAACAATGTGACTGAAAATCGTTTCGATAACTAGCTTTCTGCGAGAAAGGACCCCAATTTGTTTATTTCCTGAGGACCTTCAGGCACTATACGAGACACCCAAGTGACGTACGTCACAGACGGACGGCCATCAACATAGCTGTGTTGTGGAGTACAAAAATGTGTTTCTTTAATATTACGGAAACCCTTGAAACAAAAGTAGACATGAAATATAGTGTGCAATAACACTTTTAATGGAATCAAGATACAAGAAGTGTCAAGTGATGAGCAACAGAACTTTTTATTCACGTAGTTTTCTACGTGCAGTGGTCAACCTCCTGAGCACCCCCATCCTTTTTAAAATTCAACTTTTCTACCAACAGAGGATTAAATAATTGAAATGCACAGCACTCTGAGCCGTTTGTTCACTCATATTACAGTATCCTAATTCAATCCTTGTCTCTGCCTTTCCTTTTTTGTTAAATTGAGAGAGTTTTGACAACTGAGAAGCATGTTTAACTGCCTGTAACAACGGGATGTATTGCTGGTTGGATAAATCCACACATTTAAGGCACTTTTTAGAGCATCTTTAAAAAAAAAAAAAAAGGATCTTTGCAGTATACGCTTATGATTCCCTATAAGATAATCACTATTCCTCCTGCACCCGTACATGGTCAACAAGGAGTAAAAGTGCCAAAAACACAATAGCTTTTATCTAGGAACACAGAGTAGTCCCGGTAACTAAGTAACTAACTCATCTAAAATCAGAACATAGACACACAGTTGATATATTAATATACATACAATTTGTAGAACCTGTATTGCCGTTTTTATGAGGATAAATAATTTAGAATACTTTTTGCAGCCAAATTAAATAAGAGAAGCAATGGTAACATGCAGCAGACATGTAACAGAAGTTAATTATGCATCCATTCATCAAAGTGCTCTGCAAAGTAAAAAAAAAAAAATCACATTACTTTAGATATGGAAAAAAATCTGTAACCTCTATTTAATGTGGCCCCTTTCAGCTAATCATTAACTTTTAATCTGAGCATCTTTCATGCCAACTTATACCCCCTCAGTATGAGTAACAGCTACATGAAGTCAACACATATTGTGTTTGTAAGTTTCCCAGTGCTGGGCCTAATAAAGGAATAATATGATCTACTTCTTTCCCTCCCCTTCTGATATGATGTACTCTGGAGAGGCCCTTTTATACCACTCGCTCCAGGAACCATCGTACACGCAGACCCCGTGGTGGCCCAGCTGGTAAGCGGCTAACACCACGTGGCACGCCGTCACCCCGGAGCCACAGCTCGCCCAGAGCGGCCGCTCCAGGTCCACTCCCGCCTCTTTGAAGAGCTGAGCCAGACTCTCGGTATCACGCTGCTTCCCTGAGGCTTCCCAGAAGGACGGGAAGGGCATGTTGATCGCTCCGGGAAAATGTCCAGGCCGGACGTCTGAGAGACAGGGGAGGGAGGATAAAGCGTTATGAGCAAAAAAACAAAGAGGCCTCTCATTTGTTCAACATCAGACTAAGTCTTACTCTAAGAATTAGTCAAATCTGTGCATTAAACCACTTGTGAGGTCATAATTTTTTCTCTGATTGGCCCAGTTTCTTTTTGCAACCCGTTTCACCTTAGAAAAACATGCTGTGGCCTTAGAGCAGCAGCTTCTAAATGTACCGTTTGGAATCAACCCATAACCTTAAACCATGAAACTTGTGACAGCTTTTGAGTCGCCTGCATATAAATAAGAACAGTTATGGTTATATACTAGTGTCCACATAGGAATCTGAGTCATCTATGGTAAAAGGGCTGTAACCCTTAAATATTGTTATTAGCATCTCCCTATTAATGGTATTTACTCATGGATGAAAACAGAGTTCAAATATTTTGAAAACAGCAGAATTTCCATCTAATTTCAGATTGTTTGTTTAAAAGTCCACTTCTGCTCACCATCTCTGGGCTCTGGCTCTGTACCCCTGAACCTGCCGGCAGACCGGGCGTCCACCACCTGGACCTGCTTGGTGTTGATGTTCTCCAGGATGTCCTCATAGGTCTTCACCCATGAGGCGTTCAGGGTCGCCCGGAAGTCTCGGCGCTCCGGCTTGCAGTGCTCGGGAGTTACCGGGTGGCCGTTAGCCAGCCAGTTCTTCATGCCACCGTCCAGCACCGACACCAAGTTGTGCCCGAACAGCCGGAACATCCACCACACGCGCGGGGAGCTGTACGCCCCGAAGTCGCTGGTGTCATACACCACCACGTGCGTGTCGCTCCCGATTCCGAGGTCCTCAACGTACCGGGAGAAGTGGCTGGGGGTCGGTAGCATGTGATCATACTTTGAGCTCTTATCGCTGCATTCGTCCAGGTCGAAAAACGACGCGCCCGGTATGTGCTTTTGAGCGAATTCATCCTTCGGGACACGTTTCGTTTTCGCGAGGTACCACGAAGTGTCAAGGATGCGAAGCTTGGGACCGACAAGTTTGTTTTTGATGGCGTCCGCCAGCCACTCGCTGGACACCAGCGCACGGGTCTGAGCCGCCATGTTGAGAAGTGCGCAGTTCAGACGGTGGCTGCTAGAGGGCGCATGGGCTACGGGGAAGTAAACACAACCACGTGTGTGATGCCTCAAACCTAAAGACAGGTTATTTACATTTGACACACTTTCCTCCCGTTTAAGATGTAAATTAACCCACTATAACGTAAAACTTACTTGGAAACCTGTATCGAAATATTAGGCTTAAATCTAAATGTTAAATCTGTCATATCGAAATTTACTAGTCAAAACCTGTCCTAGCCAAAACCTGTCCAAAACAGAATCTCTTTTGTTGTTTGTTTGTTATTAAAGTATTTTATAAAGGTTTTTGGTGCACTTCTGGCCTTTTCCTTTGGCAGTAGTAGGAAACAGAAAAGTGCGAGTGGAGTGCCAAACGCTGGTCTCTGGGTACCACTGTCTTGCAGGTTTTGGACATTTTCCCACCTATACACACCTGATTCTGATCTAACGGGTTTCTTCTGTAGGTAAATCAATATATGTATAATCAATTTCTTCACGTCTCTCTGGTAACTTTCCACAAGTGAAAATTTTAAAGGTTCTTTTACTCTATCATGGGGCTCTTTCCTCCTTCAAGGTCTCAAAGAAGGTCTCCTTATATGTAGTCTCTTTAGTCTCTTAATATTTTGTCTTGATTTTGTTTTACTTTAGTGCTGCTTGGTATGTCATTTGAACCAATTGTATGATTGTGTTGGTTGTGTCACATATAAAGCTTTTACTTTTATTAAATTTCTATTTCTTACCTCCTCAGATCGACTCAGACTTTTGCTTTAAATATAATTTCCATAACACTTCCATAACAAATTTAAAGCCTCTAATGTTGCATCTGGTATGTTGAGGCTGGGAAACATCAGAAACCTGAAGGGCACAGCCCTCTAGGGCTGGAGTTTGACATATCTGGAGGAAAACCATTTAGCTACAAGGCTTCCCACTAAGCGCCAAAGCTTACATTTCTGTCTGACCACTCAACAACAGGACAGGTCGATCAGGGTAACGGTGTTTAATGCTGCATTTCTGAGTGACTGCCTTCACATTACGGCTTGCCGTTGGCCTCGGAGATGATGTGCTCTGGAGGCGCCCTGGTGAACCACTCGTACCACGACCCGTCGTACACCGACGCTCCCGGGGCTCCGCACAGGTGAGCGGCCAGCACCATGTGGCACGCCGTCACCCCGGAGCCACAGGTCCCACACAGCGGCCTACTCAGGTCCACCTGGGACTTCTCAAAGAAGCGCTTCAGCTCCTCCGTGGGAAGCATCATGCCGTCCTCATCCAGGAACTTAAAGAAAGGCATGCATTTGGAGCCTGGGATGTGGCCGGGCTGGACACCTGTTGGAAGATGACCAAACGCATATTTAGCCACATTTGGAACACATAAAAAATATTTAACAAATGTTAAAGTGCCTGACAACTGATTTTCTTTTCTTATCAAGTATATCATGTGGTTCCAGACACGTTGGGTTAATATTACAGGATTAGAAAATGAGATATTTGATCTTTTTATGCTTTTCTTCTTAAAATATCAAACTTATTCATCAGACCACTCCTGGTTTGAGTGAATTACTCTACAGGTTGTAGATTAATTAAAACTAACTTTAATTGTATTTTCACTTTTAATTTCACATTAAGACATCTGATTGAATGATGGTATGTCTGAAAAAACAGGCAGAAAATGATTCAAAGTGAAACCTTGGATGTGGTGGTGGGGGGCTCAAGGATTGGTTTGAAGTTTTGGACAAGAAAAATGTTTCCACTGGGGTTTGAAAGAAGTAATTCAACCCAAATTTAATCTTTTTTGCATCTTCATTAATCAAATAATTGTTCAACAAAGTATAAAGTAGGGTTTTACTAAATCTGCACATTACTGGAGTCAGGTTAAATAGTCCAGTTATTGTGGACTTCATACAGGGACAACAAAACAAACAAAACCAGATGCATGTTCCAAAAACAAGTTGAATGGCCCTCTCTTTAGTTAGGAGTGGTCAGGCACCTTCTCTGGGCTCCGGCTCCCTTCCCCTGAACCTGGCATAGGGCCTGACGTCCACCAGCTGGAAGCGGCCTGCCGAGATGTTCTCCGTGACGTCCTCAAACGACCGGACCCAGGACCGGTTCATGGTGGCCGTGAACTGCGCGCGCTCGGGGCTGGCGCGCGCCCCCGTGACGGGGTGACCCTGCTTGACCCAGGCCCTGAACCCCCCGTCCAGCACGGACACGCGGGGGTGTCCGAACAGCCGGAACATCCACCACACCCTGGTGCACGAGAACATGCCGAAGTCGCTGGCGTCGTAGACCACCACGTGGCTGTGGTTCCCGACCCCCAGGCCGCCCACGTAGTCTCCGAAAAAGCTGTCCGCGGGCAGCGTGTGGTCGAACCTTGAGGTCCGGTCGGAGCACGCGTCGATGTCGAAAAACGAGGCCCCCGGGATGTGAGAGTGAGCGAACTCCCCCCTGCCGTCCCGCCCCATCGCGGGCAGGTACCAGGACGCGTCCAGCACCCGCAGGCCGGGGCCCGCGAGGCCGGCCCCGAGCATGCCCGCGAGCCATTTGGCAGAGACCAGGGCCTTGGTTTGTGTACCCATGATGACGAAACGCCAACTGACACATGTGCGCGCGATCACTCCACCTGCAGGTAGTCCATCCGAGACAGGGAGGGGTTTGGAGGTGTGAGGTCAGACTCCTCTGCAGGCCCAGGGCCACACTGATGTGGACAGGGGGGGAGGGGGTCAGTGAACGTCTCACCCACCGGGATAAAAATAACAAACAAAAATAAGACAGATAAAAATAAAATATGTGCAACTATTAGCAGGGTTTTTTTTTTTTAACATGGAATGAAACGATATCTTAGATGATTGCGTCCGTATTCCAGCTTTTATCTTGACTATGACAGGCTTATCTAAAGCAGAGTCCATTTGAATGAGTTTGAATGACGTCATATTGTTAAAGTATCATCTGTGTTGTGTGTGACTGACTGCACAAATCAGCAGATCGTTTGACCCCCCCAAAAAATATAAAATGAGGAGATTACTGTTATTGAACAGTTAGACATTAACAAGAGGCCACCATGACTGTGTGATTAATTATTTTCTTCAGGGTGTAAGTAGTCAAAAAGATTTTATGGCACACCTTACTCTGGAACACGCCTTTTGCACAAATATTGATATTTTTATTACTTTGGCCAATTTGGCTCTGACAGAATTCGAAAGATATTTTGTGTGACCATAAAAGTTAATTTTCCAAGATAGTCCTAATCCACTGTTTGTGATAGCGGGCATGGGTTTGAAGCATTTGGTTCAAAATTTTCCCGCAAATCATTCGTGAAAAGCGTGTTTTCTGACCAGCTCCCTCTGACTGAACCGAAGCAAAGCAGCCCCTCCCTGTGGGGCCTGACAGCCAAATCCCACAGCAGTGTGAGTCAATGAACCACACAACAGGAGCTGAGAAAACCAGGAACCTCACAAACAGGACCGGCAGACTTGCGACACCAACATATGACCTGTATTTCTGAACTTCTCTAGTCTGCTTTCGTTTTTAGGGTATTTGCTGTAAAGGCCATGACCTCTGACTTACTGACATGTAGAGAAATTAAGAAATATATGTCTGTTATTTGTTGATTTGGGTGTTTGTAAAAAGACATAAAACTCTTAGAAACAAGCATTAATAGGACACGTGATCAGGCCCGGGCATCGATTCTCCGTTTTTTCTTTAGAGCTGCAAAGAGATGCGGTGCATAGAGATAATCAGTTCATTAAAGAGCCAAAAAGAGGACTGACAACCATGGAAAAAAACAAAGAAGTTTCACCCTTGTGTAATTCCTCCATCGTCTTTCGGCCCTCCCCGGGTTCGGTAGGAGCACATGACACACACTGAGGGTCAGATTGTTCAAAGTTCAGGTCCACTTTTAAAAAGGAGAGCATTCCATCCAGCGCTGTGCCCATCTGACACTTTCCGGCCCAGATTTCTTTCTCGTTTCATCAACTTTGGGTCTATCTATCTATCTATCTATCTATCTATCTATCTATCTATCTATCT